CCGGATTTGGGGGTCTCAGGTTTGGGATCTCTGGATTTGGGAGTCCCCAGATTTGGGGACTGGGATCCCGCAGGAACGCTTCCCAAAACCTCCTGCCAAGAGGGGGAAGGGGATTATCCCAACTTCCAGAGCCGGGAGCCGGGCTGGGATCCCGCAGGAACTCTTCTTCCCAAAACCTCCTTCCTGGGGGGCTCCGCCCGCCCTCGGCAGCTCCGGGAGAGGCTCCGGGAAGGGTCCCCGAGGCCGGAGCACGGGAGCCAAGCAGGGAATTCCACAGCCCAACCATTCCAAGGGGAAGAGTCCAAGCTCGGCCCGGCCCTCGGGAATCAGGTCTCCACCACTCGGATCAGAGGCAGCGGCTTGGGGCCCGTCAGCCTCTTGCTGGGGGGGGAAAAGGGGGTTTTTAGCTGGATGAAGAGGGAAAAAACTGCATCCCTGCTTCCCAAGAGCATCCCCAAATCCAGAAGAGCATCCCTGCTTCCAGAAGAGCATCCCAAAACCCAGGAAAGTATCCTCAATTCGTGGAGAGCATCCCCAGATCCAGAAGAGCATCCCTGCTTCCCAAGAGCATCCTCAGATCCAGAAGAGCATCCCCAATTTGTGGAGAGCATCCCTGCTTCCCAAGAGCATCCCCAGATCCAGAGCAGCATCCCTGCTTCCCAAGAGCATCCCTAAATCCATTGGAGCATCCCCAGATCCTTTGGAGCATCCCTGCTATCCAAGAGCACCCCTGCTATCCAAGAGCATCCCTGGATCCAGAGGAGCCTCCCTGCTATCCAAGAGCATCCCCAGATCCAGAAGAGCATCTCTGCTTCCCAAGAGCATCCTTAAATCCAGAGGAGCCTCCCTGCTTCCCAAGAGCATCCTCAAGACCAGAAGACCATCCCTGCTTCCAAAGAGCATCCCCAAATCCAGAAGAGCATCCCTGCTTCCCAAGAGCATCCCCAAATCCAGAGGAACATCCCTGCTTCCAAAGAGCATTCCCAGATCCAGAGGAGCCTCCCTGCTATCCAGGAGCATCCCCAAGCCCAGAAGAGCATCCCAAAATCCAGCAGCACCTCCCAGCCAGGTGTGCCCCCCCCCCTTCCCGGCCGGAATTCCGTACCTGCTCACGTATTCCGACTTGGAGCGGGCCCTGGAGCTGAGGCCGCCCCGGCTGACCTGCTTCTCGATCAGGTGCTCGATCCGGTCGTGCATCTCCAGGTTCTGCAGGAGAAAGGGACGGGAATTGGGACCAGGAGTTGGGAACAAGGCGGGTTTTCCAGCCCCGGGGAGCAGAGGACAATTCCAGGGGGAATTTTGGGGGCACCTCACGACAACACCGTGGGGCTGGAGCGTGTCCAGAGCTGGGGAAGGGTCTGGAGAACTCCTGAGGGAGCTGGGGGGGCTCATCCCGGAGAAAAGGAGGCTCAGGGGGGACCTTCTGGCTCTGGAATTCCCTGACAGGAGGTTGGAGCCGGGAGGGATTCAGGCTCTGCTCCCAGGGAACAAGGGACAGGAGGAGGGGGAACGGCCTCAAGCTGTGCCAGGGGAGGCTCAGGTTGGACACCAGGAGGAATTTCCCCCTGGAAAAGGATGTTCAGGCCTGGGAAGGAGCTCGGATCCAACCCCCAGAACCCCCCGGGACCCACCTCGGCCTCCAGGTAGGAAACCCTCTCCTTCAGCTCCTGGATCGTGGAATCCTTGGCCTGGATCACCGTCTTGGAGTTCTGGAGCTGCGAGGGGGAAAGTCCAGAAGAACTCAGGAACCTCTCCCGTGGATGGACGGGGCTGGAAAAGCACCCAGGGAGCTGCTTTTTTTTTTGGGAAGCCCCTTTTCCAGCCCCTTTTCCCAGTCCCTCCCCTGACCTGCTCGATCATCTGCCGCACTTTGCGCTGTTGGCTCTTCAACATGTCATCCAGGTGATGGATCTTCTCCCTCAGCGTGGCCACCTCCTTCTCCAGCTGGGCCACCCTGGGAGACAGAACACGGGGAACACCCTCCAGGAGCCACCCAGGTGGGGGAACCCCAAAACTGCAGCCTGGTGGGGACACCCACCCCAAATCTGCAGCCTGTGGGAACATCCACCCCAAAACTGCAGCCCTGTGGTCTCTCCTCCTCTCCAGCCTCAGGATTTTTTTGGGGTCGAGCAGAAGAGGAGAGACACACCAACCCTATATCACAGGAGAGCAACACCCACCCAAAACTCAGCCCTGTGGGGTCTCTCCTCCTCTCCAGCCT